CCTCGCGTTTTCACGCGTCTGACCCGAGTTGTGGTGACCCGTCTGCGTCTTCTAGGGATTCGGGTTTTGGCCTACCTCGACGACTGGCTGGTGTGGGCTCCAAGTCGGTCAGCTTGTCTGCTCGCCAGGGATTTGGTTCTTTCCCAGCTCGCCAGGTTCGGGTTCCTGGTGAACTGGAGGAAGTCCCATCTGGTTCCGTCCCAGGTTCGGACCTGGCTGGGTCTTGTTTGGGATTCTCGGACCGCTTCCTTGTCTCTTCCTCCGGTGGCGTTGCGGCGGCTGCGGGACCGCCGTTTGCTGTTTCTGAGAGGGTCCCGGGTCACTCGGCGGTTGCTCGAGCGGTTGTGCGGGAGTCTGAACTTCGCCATGCTAGTCTACCCGCCGGGTCGGGTTTGGCTTCGGCGTCTGTTTTGGTTCCTTCGGGGACGTCCTTTCCGCCTCTCTCGCGATCGTTGGGTTCGCCCTCCGGGGGTCTTATGTCGGTTGCTGCGTCACCGTCTTCCTCTTCGGATTTTTCGGGGTTCGGTGCCTTGGCGCCTTCCCGAGCCCTCGCTCGATGTGTTCACGGACGCGTCGTCTCTCGGCTGGGGCTTTGTGACCAGTGCTCACCAGGCAGGCCAGGGACGGTGGGGTCCGTCCTTCCATCGGGCTCACAGCACGGTTCGGGAGTTCGCGGCTGTCTGGTTCGCGCTTCGGAGGGTTCGGGTCGCTCGGGGATCGACCATTCGCCTCCATTCGGACTGTTCTCCGGTGGTTCATTGCCTGAACCGCGGGGGTTCTCTTCGGTCCTTGGCTCTTTGGGGTTGGTCCCTTCGAGTGGTTCGTCTGCTGGATTCTCGGGGTTTGGCTCTCCGTGCGGTTCACGTCCGGGGAGTGTCCAACGTTCTGGCGGACGGTCTGTCTCGCTTCCTTCCCCTGTCCACGGAATGGACGGTCGACGACGACTCGTTTCGTTGGATCTGCCAGACGTACGGTCTCCCAGATGTGGACCTCTTCGCGTCGGCGTGGTCCCGGCGTCTCCCTCTATATGTGACGCCCTTCCCCGACTGCGAGGCGTTCGCGGTGGATGCTTTTCGGCAGGACTGGTCGAGGTGGGGTTACCTGTACCTTTTTCCTCCGGTCCAGCTGTTGCTTCGGGTTCTGGTTCGGTTAGAGACATTCCCGGGGAGAGTAGTCCTCGTGGCCCCTTGGTGGCCGGCCCAGCCTTGGTTTCCGGTGCTTCTGGCTCGGTGCCCGAACCCGGGACGTTTCCCGCGGCTCCGCCTCTTTCAGCAGGTCGGCCCGATCCGGTACGGGGCTGGTTCGACCTTCTCCTCTGCTCTTCGCGTCTGGTCTTTTTGACGCGGGTGTATCACCATTTCTATGGTGATCAGGTGGCTTCTTTGATGGTGTCCCACCTGAGAGCTTCGTCTAGGCGACAGTATGAAGTTTCCTGGCGTTCCTTTCGCCATTTTCTGGCTCTTCGTAGGTTGTCTTTTCTCTCGGATCGGGTTGTTTTGTCCTTCCTTACTTGGCTTTTTCAGGACCGTCATTTGATGCCTAATACTGTCGCCTCGTATCGTGCGGCGCTGGCGGAGCCGCTCCAGCTCGCTTTCGGGGTGGACGTCACGTCCGCCCCGTTTCGTAAGCTTTCCCGTGCTATGTTTCACCTCCGGCCTGCTCATGCGCCGCCTGAGCCGTCCTGGTCCTTGGACAGGGTGCTCTCCTATCTTTCCTCTCCTCGGTTTGTGGTGGCCCCTTCGGTTCCTGATTGTTTTTCCAAGGCTTTGTTTTTGTTGGCATTGGCCTCTGGGGGCCGGGTAGGGGAGCTTCATGCTCTCCTCCGGCGCAGGGGTTACTGCTCTTTTGGTCCTGGGGGTAGGTTTGTCCGTTTGCAGCCTTCTCCGTCCTTTCTGGCAAAGAACGAGACGGCTGCTTTCCGGAGGGGTCCGTGGGTCATTGATGCTTGGTTGGTTCGGCCGGGGGTGCATCATGTGTTGTGTCCTGTTGCTGCACTTCGCCGTTACCTGCGCGCTTCGGCCGGAGTGGCTGGGGATGCGCTTTGGGTTGATCCGGTTTCCCTCGTTCCCTGTTCCAGGGCTCGGGTCTCCCAGGTTGTCCGCAGGGTTATTAAATCTAGCCAGCCTGCGGTCTATCCTCGCGCCCATGACGTTAGGAAGTTTGCGGCTTTGGCTGCCGTGTTTGGTAATATGTCTTGGGCTCATATTCGGGCGCGTGGATTTTGGAAGTCGAACAGGGTCCTGGCCGCCCGTTATTTGGTGAATGTCCCTGCTCCTCGTCGTTCTTGTGTTGCTTTGGGTCGCAGGTTGCAGCCAGTTGTCTCGACTTCGAGTTGAGGAGTTTGTGGCCACCGCCTCCCGGGTAAGTCCCATTTTTCCTTCTCTTTGGGTATGTAGCTCCAGGGAGCCGTAGGGGCTCCCCCCAGAAAACCAGCGTTGAATGTAATGAAACGCCATTTTCTGGGTGAGCCCCGGAGGCTCCCTGGTTACCCTCCCTCCCGTCCGGTCGGCGGGATTTTTCGCGTTGGTTGAAGCCTAGTTTCCGAACTGACGGCAGCCGGCGCGGTGAGGTCCGGGGCCCCCCCCTCCCCCTCCCGGGGAGGGGAGGGCTGCGCGGACGACCGGCGCGGCAGTAAATTGATTGTTTGATTGTTTTCCTTGGGATTGTAGGGAGTTTTCTACCTCTCTGTTCGGTTTTTGTTGTAGTTTTTTACCATGTGGGGTTTGTTTTGTTACGCCTACCTTTCTGGGTGCCTAACCCCGGTCGATGGCAGATAAGGAAAACCCCCAACCATATGGGGTTTTCCAGGGCCATTGCTCCCTGAAACCTCTCTGAAGGGGCCAGGTTCTGGCGCTGGTCCCTGGTAGGTCTGAACTCCATAGCTAATGTCCCGGTCTAACATAACACACATTAGCCCGATAAGCTCCAGGGAGCCTCCGGGGCTCACCCAGAAAATGGCGTTTCATTACATTCAACGCTGGTTTTTTGCACCTGCCCTTCTATGGTTTGCCTCTTTGCAGCACTGTGAAGCAATGTTTAAGCTGTTTTGCCAGCTCCTGGTCCAGTGATATCACCCCTTCAGTTCATGATACCTTTTTCAAATCATTGGTTTTATTATCCCTCACATTTGTTTGTCAAGTTGGGGAGCTTCATGGTCTTGTCTAGAAGCAAGTCTTTTGTTCTTTTGGCACTGGCAGGCGGTTTCTTAGTCTGCAGCCTTCTCCTTTTTGGTAAAGAATGAGGAACTTGATTTCTGGAGAGATCCTTTGGTTATTTGTTCTTGGGTTTTTGGGCTGGGAATACTTCATTTGTTTTGTCTGATTGCAACTATTCATTGTTACCTGCATGCCATACGGACTGCTTTGGTGAATGCATTGTTTGTTGATCCTATCTCCTTTCATCATTGCACTGAATCGGCATTCAGTGTAATGAAACCTCTCTTTCTGGTAGAGCTCCAGAAAGCTCTGCTCTGCTCTGCTTCCCTTGCTACTACTTTGTTAGTATGTCTGTTGTTGTCCATCAGCTCTGGACTGATCATTTGAGCCAGCTGTGGACTGGGGCTCTGGGCTGCCTGGTAGCAGTTATCAGTACTAACAAATTTGAGCTAGGTTAGAGCGAATCAATTGTTTGCTCTATAGAGTAATCAAACCTTGCAGTTTTCTGCAAAGCATTGCTGAAATTCTGGATGCGTTCCCAATGATTCAGCCGGTCTTCCTAACCATTCTCAATGTCACTAAACTGTTTGTTGTACTAGAGTGCCCAAACCTAACCAACCCAAGGACCCATAAACAGAAAATGGGACATTACAAAAATTTCCTCCAGCAGCAACCAGTTTTTGTACGTCAGTTTTTGGCCTTGAGTAAAATATACGTCAAAATGAGATGTGCTATTAGACGAATGTGTTGGATGATAATGGTCGTACCTATGTAAGAGAGGCCATGTTTTGGCTGTGATCCCTGGTAGGCTAAACAGGACTCCTGCGACTGATGTGACCCAGTAGTGGGAAGCCATCTCAGCAAAATACTGCAGCTTCAAGGAAGCCAACCCGGTCTCTACCAGAAAAGAGGCATTTCATTACGTTCAGCGCTGGTTTTATACCAAATATTATATTATTATTGTTAATTATAGAACTTTTTTTTTTATATATACATTTTAATAAAAACTTTTGTATAAATTTTTAGACATTGTCTTAACAATACCGTAATAAAATTTGTTGGCACCAAAATGTGGTCTGCATTCAGAATGTACAGTCTCACTCTATCAAAAGTCAGTTGATATTTCCTGTTACCTGTATATGTGAATATTTATTTATTTATTTATTTATTTATTTATTTATTTATTTATTTATTTATTTATGCATATACAAGAAGGTACATTGGGAATGTGAGGATACATAATATGGTAATTACAGTCTTGTAAAGCCACTAGTACGTGCAGCGTTTCGGTATTTAGATCATGCTATATTACCAAGGCAAATTCTTATCTTGCCTCTGGTGTTCAGGTGTACCAAGTTTGAGTGGACGTCATCTGTGACACTTCGTCCGTTATGAAAATTCACAAAAATGTATTTTTATGCACTTTTTATTATTTTACTGTACATTAAAGCAATCATTTAGGATCATTTACTTGGACAAAAAATGACATATAGTAGTATACAGTTATAGAAACAAAGGGAAGAGAGTATAAAACTCCCTGATTCGATCCCTTAGAGGCCACAGCTAACAGGAAAAAGTGCCTTAACATTTCTACGTATATCAAAAAAAAGTATTGCGGCAAAAAACAAGTATAATAATACCATTAATACAAGTATAATAATATACCATTATTTTAAAAACAGTATTTGTGTAAATGAGTGCAAAAGTGCAATAAGTCTTTTCACTTAGTACACTGTGCTTTCTCATTAATTTAGAAATTAATAAAGAATAATAGCTAAAGATAGATGTTTTACTTTAGAAGAGAAAGTTTAAATTGAAGTTGATGGTCATATTGTTTTCTTTCAGCACTACTACAAGCTGTTCCCTCTCGTGTGACGGTACCTTCAACTCCAAGCACAGTGAATATTAAGTCACTTCCTCCACCTCCACAGCCTCCTGATAATCCTCAGACTGAAGCTGAGAGGCAACAACAAATTCAATATGAGCAATGGCTTGCACAACAACACAGTTTAATTGCTTCTCAACAGAGACACTATGAAACGGAAATCATCAAGCTAAGAAAGCAGCGTAAAAGCCTGAACAGTCGTCAGAGAACATTAAAGAAAAATGGGCAGGAATTAAATGAACATGATGCAGCTGAACTTGCTCGTGTGCAGAGGGAAGCATCTGCAATCCAACGACATTTAGAGCAGTGTCGTAAATCTGCCAGACAGCATGCTATGATTATGCAGGAGTACAACACTAAAAAGAGAAATCGACAAGGTCACATAATGAACACGCAAGGTGGAGTAATGAATGTGTCTCCAGGAACTATGATGACTGGGGCTTCTACCATGGTTCCTACAGGTTCATCACCCATGCATTCTACTCCGCAAAGCCCTCTCATGTCCCCTTCGCCATCATCTCAACCAAGTATGGGCTTGAGTCCTATGGTGCCCTCTCCACACACACCAGTAGCATCTCCTAATCCAACAATAGTGCCACAACATTCTCCTCATGCTATGGTGGTTCCAGGTCCACACCCATCCCCTGGGGAATCACCTTTTAGTCCCCAGACTTGTATGCCTTCTCCAGGAGGAGGGTATCCTGACCAAGGACCACGTGCTACTTACCCTGGAGCACCCCAGGGAATGGCACACCACATGATGGTTCCTCAGATGAGAGTTAGAATGCCTGTTCATAGTCCTGGCACTCAGACAGTACAACCAGGGCAGATGTCACCACATATGATGGGGGTAAGAGCAGCATACCCCCAGGCTGGAGTAATGATGCCCCAGGGTCAAGGGGCAGCCATGATGATGAGACACCAGTACCCACAGGGAGTGATGCCTCTTCGGAGACCTTCTGGATCTGGACCTGTTCCTAGTCCAGGTTCCGTTGGCCCCATACCAAGTCCAGGTGGACCTGTTCCAAGTCCTTTAGGAGGTGGAATTGCTATGAAACCTAGTCCAGTTCATAGTGGCTTGAAGAGTCCTGTGCCACTAGCTAGTCCTAGTTCTGGTGGTCCAGTTCCAAGTCCTATATCTGGGAATATGTCTATGAAACCAAGTCCAGTTCATAGTGGCTTAAGAAGCCCTGTTCCCCTTGCCAGCCCTCAGATGCGTCCTCACAGCACAGAAAATCCAAGCACTCCATTAACCCCTCGCAGTGTTGGTGCTGGAGAGATAGGTGGAGCACCAAACACACCCCACAGTGATATAGGATGTGCGAGTAGTAACAGTAGCCTAGTGAACAGTCCTCATCCCTCTGTGTCTACACCCACTAGTGATGCAGTGCCCTCACCTGCTTCCTCATCCACATCTACTGCAGGAGGAACAGTTGCGTCAAGACCAGGAGGAGGAGGCGGCGGTAATGCTAATAATCCAAATAACCCTGCACCACTTCCACCACACTTACGAAGATTTGGTTATTTCAAACTTGGGCTTAGAGGCGGTACTCTTTTAAGAAGTCGTTGGGGACACTTCAAATTTGGCTTGAAAGGTGGAGCACCCCTTGGGGAAATTGAGAATAATACAGTACAAACCACTTGCAGCAATGAAATTGCAACAACAGCAACACCTAATACTACAACAAATATTAACACCACCACCTCTTCCATGTTAAGGGCTGTCAATACCACAGCACTCTCAATAAAAAATGAGATAGAAAGTCACGAAGGACAGGAGGGGCTAGCTCATGTTCTAAGTGAAAGTATTAAAGGGCCAGTAGTAAGAATGATTGGTGGAATAGGGCCACGAGGAGGCCAGTCTGCATATTCTCCTGCAGGAATAACAACAACTTCTTCAATGATACCTCAGCTTTCATCTAGTGTTAATAAAATAATTGTTCCAGAGCCAGCAAAATCTGAAATTCCTCCATCAAGTCGACATCAAGCAGTAATAGGTATTCCGGGTGGAGGTGCAATCTTGTCTCAAAACAGCATGTACCCCAGTCATACTGTAGCAGTAGCGCCTGGAATTAGATTACCAAGTGTCAATGCCTCATCCAATTATCCATCATCAAACATTGTGTCTGGTTGTGTAGCCACCACCAGCTCTGGTATGATGGGTGTGGCAGTTGGTACAACAGGTGCTTGTGGTATAAGTGGTTCTCTTGTGCCACCACCTATTATGTCTGTGACCTCGTGTGCAGCAACCACAGCATCTATGTACAATTCGAGTATGGCACCCACACACCGACCACTAGATGAGGTTTCCACTCATAGTACTATTGTTAGCATCAATGACCAAGTAAGCGGGATATCAAGTGGGTTAACACACTTTCCGAATAATTCAGGCTTGCCTTCAACATCAGTTTCGGCAATGACCCACACCACGCCTTCTCTTGGCCGACCACTAGTAAGTGTTCCATTACAGCAAATTGGTTTACAACAAAGACCTGTATTAAATACACCTGGAACTCAATCCATGGCCACACAGCAGGTCAGAACCCTTCCATCCATAGGTCAGCTACAGTCAGGGGCAAGACAATTTAGAACACAGTTAATAAGAGCTCCAGTTACCCAACAACCTGGAGGTATTGATCTAGAAGGCCATAAAGTAGTAACTCAACAACAAGTGATGCATCAGTCCATAGGTCAGCCTGTTGGGGTGTTATCCAGTGGTGTTCCTCAGACACTAGGACAGCAAACGTGGATTCAAACATCCAGTGGGACCATCTCTCAAAGTGGAGTTGTTGTACAAGGTGGAGTACCACAGACTGTTGGCGTACGCATGGTTACACAGCCAATGATGGTTCAACAAACCATTGTTCGCAGTGGCAATGTTATGGTCCGACCAGCCACCACTGGTCAGGTTTCAATGCAGGGTGGAGTACGAATGATGATGATCCATGGAGGACAACCAGTCCGTACACCCTCTCCCCCAGTGAGTCGACCAACTATGATGCCTCCACCTGCTGCTAAATCTCCAGCAGGACTTTCTGCAAGTCCAATACCACGTGTCTCTCCAGCTCCATCTCCTTTATCGAATCATCCCTCTCCACACTCTCCTCAAATTAAGGGCCATTCTCCGCTAATGGGATCTCCAGCTCCCAGTCCTCATAACTCACTCCCTACACTTTCTAGTATTATTAAAAGGGAACCAGAAGATGAGCTCTCAGGTAGTTGTGGTACACCTGGTTTGCCTCTCTCAAGTATTGCTGGTCCAGGCATTTCTCAATCTCCTGGCACACTGCATGTGACCATCAGTGGAGCAGTATCACAGGCAGCAACACAGTTGCCAATGATGAACCACCCACACTTGACAACACAAAATTCTTCAATTGTCACAGGACCACTGAAATCAGAGGGATTGAATGAAGGGATGAGTAAAGAGTCCTCTAATGCATTGCTTAAGCAATTGTTGGAAAATACTGGGTGTGCTAGCCCGCTACAGCAGCCTCCTCAAGGTCAACTGGTGTTGTTTAGGTCATCTCAAGGAACGTTACCCATGCAGTCATCTCATCTGTCCCAGGTTGCTTCACAGGTGCCTAATCCAACCCCAATAATGGTACCTCGAAGCATTGTACCAGCTTCAGCCCCAAGCTCGCATGCTTCTGTGTTACATACTACTAGTGTTGCATCCATGATGTCTCATAACCCTGACATTCAACATCATCATCATACAGTAATTGCACCTGGAACTCAATCCCAGCCTTTAGGACCCAACCCACAAATAATGCAGCGTTCAGTTGTAGTGTCAGGTCCTCAGCCGGTTCCACAAAATCCTGGAACTCATACTGTTGTTCTGGGTCAGCCACAGTTAATTGCCCAACCTGGTGCTCATGTCAGTCTCAGTCATTCAGTAGCACGTCTTGGAGTTCCATTTGCTGGTCAGAGCCATCAAGTTCAGCATGCAAATGCTCCTCATCCATCTAGTCAACATACAGGTATAAGGCAGGTTACAACCCACCATATAACCCATCAGGGTATGAACCCTTCTGGTCATCATGTGATACAAGGACAGCCAACTCATCAAACAGTAGCAGTCAGCCATCCAAGTCGTCCGCTGGGTCACCCTGTTACTCCCTCAGGTCCTCACATGGTTGTCCATCCAGGCCTTCGACCTGCCCACCCAGGTCAACACCCTTTAGCTAATGCTCATCCACCGGGTACTCATCTAATATCAGGAGGATCACGGCCCTCTCTTAACCCCACAGTAATGAGCTCTGCTCAAACACCAGCAAGTATGGCAGACCGAATTAATAGTGATCCTGGCCTAAAAACAGAAATGCGCGTTATGATTCCTGAGACTGTAATGGGAACAGGAGCTAGCACCGGAGAACACACTCCTGAGATGACCACACCAAATGAAGGTTCGGACTCTCTAGACCATGAAGAGCTTAAGAAAGCAAAGAAACGAGCTCAGCAAGCTAGAAGAAAAAGTCAAAGTAAGGACACCAAAGTACAGCCAGCCAAGCGGGCTAGACAGGGATCTCGAGTTGAAGAAGATTATGATGCTTATATTGAAAGTGTAATGCAACAATTAAGAAGTATGCCACCACTCACTATCATGGAACCAGAAGTACCAAGAAACTTTAATCTCTGTCCAATGTTTGGTAGTGGTGATTTAACTAAACTAGGCAGGAGAGATTATAATTACAGGCAAGGAGTTTTGGAAGGCTCAGAAGGTCATGCAACTATAAAAAATATCACTGATTATTATAATACACAACCATTTGGTGATAAATTACCCATAGTCACTCCAGCAAAAACTGCACCCACTCAACGAGGCTTCTACATTCATGAGTTTACACCACCAAAGATTGGCCTGCCACTAGATGAATATCCGGGAGAAGGTGATTCTGTTAGTGGCTCTAATCGTCCAACTCCAGCCCTAACACCAACTAGAGATGCAGACTCTCCTGACACTGTTTTAAGCTCCTCCTCTCCAGAATGTATATTACCTGAATCCCCTCTTCCATTTAAGGGTCTTAGACTGGTTGACATGGATGAGGATCCACATGAGGATCAGCGTGATCGTTCGCTTTCTCCTTCTATTCCTCTCCTCATGCCTACTCCAATAAGACCAGGACAATTGCCATTCCTTCCCTCTCTGGACAAAGATAGTAAAGATATTCCAGAATTGGATAAGGAAAATATTGGTAGCCTTTCAAGTATTACAATGAAGAGCCGCTTAGGACAATCACCAGCACTACCTTTAAAAGACATGGGTAATGTCACTGTCACACTTACCCTTTCATCTCAAGCTGGCGAAGATGTATCTGGTGTTTTACGTTCTTTAGCTAACCTTCTGAACATTCCACCACCATCATCTTATCAAATGGCAGACCGACTGGAGCCACCCAAATTACCAAGACTTTATCACCACAAACATCCAAAAGATGGTAAAGAGCAAATAGTGGACATCCAAAGTATTCTCAATGGACAGGCACGTTTTTGTAGACATTGTGATATCATCATATTGAAAGATATTTTATGCAAAAGAGTGTCAGAGCTTTCGTTCTTAAACAAAGAAGACTATGGAAGTGTTGAGGAAATTACTTTTTGTTCACAGCAGTGCTATGTACAGTTTGCATTATCTCATCGTATGATCATTGATGAAAGAGGAAAGCATGATGGGAGTAGTAGATTTAGCAAGCAAAAAGATACATATAATGATATCAAAGACACTTCATCCATTATGTCTGATGATACTCTCCCAGACTGGTCCAAAGAAGAAGATATGGATGAAGTTTTACGGGTTCCCCAACTTGAAGATTCTCTGCTCAGTCGACCCAGCAAACATAAACTAGAAGATGATGAGGATCAGTTCCCTAGGCAGCCTGATGGGAAACGTTTTCGTGGTCACAAATATAAGTGCTGGACACCTAATGCTCTCATTCTTCCAGAGAATTATGAAAAACCAACACCTAAGGAAATGACAGACTTGCTTTTTCGCATGGGTATCACCTACAGAAAGCCACGGTTACGAGACGATACTCGTCAGTGTATCTTATGCAACCTGTATGGCGATTATGTAGCTGATGGACCATCAAGACTACTTAATTATGATGTAGACAAATGGGTTCATCTTAATTGTGCTCTCTGGGCAGAGGATGTTTATGAAACAATGAATGGAGCCCTTATGAATGTAGAAACTGCAATGAAAAAAGTGTCACCATTTATATGTGAACATTGTGACCAGCTTGGAGCATCTGTGAAATGCTTTAAAGTGCGATGTAGTAAAGTTTATCACTTAAATTGTGCTGTAAAAGAAGGATGCACATTTTATAAAAATAAAACCGTGTATTGTCAAGAGCATATTAACAAAGGAGAGAAAGATAATGAACTTTCAACGTTATCTGTGTTCCGCCGTGTTTTCATAGACCGTGATGAGAACAGGCAAGTGGCTTCAGTGATGCACCATGCAGATATGAGCTACCTTCTTCGTATTGGCTCACTAATTCTTCTAAACATTGGGCAGCTTTTTCCACACCAGCTCCAGGCATTCCACACTCCTTATTGCATCTATCCTGTGGGCTATCAAGTGGTATGTAGGAAAAAATTTTATCGGCATGATTTGTCAGCGTAATCTTAATAATTGACTACATTTGTATATTGTATAATTCTTTAAGATGGTGCTATTTAGGCAAGTTGAATATAGAAATGTTAAAGCATGTTAATACAATTTGATTCTGTTTCTTTACCTAGATTCGATTCTACTGGAGCATGCGCAAGCTTCACAAGAGATGTGCTTATGAGTGTTCAATCCATGAGAATGAGGGTCAGCCAGAATTTCGAATAATGGTGAAAGAGGATGGTTATGAAGACCACACATTTGTCAGCTGCTCTCCAAAGGGTGTATGGAACAAAGTTCTTGAACCATTAGCAGATATGCGTCACAAAGCAGATGTTGTAAGACTCTTTCCTCAGTACATCAGTGGAGAGGACCTCTTTGGCCTGACTGAACCAGCTATTGTTCGTATCCTTGAGTCTTTGCCAGGTATTGACACGTTAGGTGACTACAACTTCAAGTATGGCAGTAATCCATTATTCGAGCTTCCTTTAGCTGTCAACCCAAGTGGGTGTGCTCGAGCAGAACCTTTCAACAAATTACACCTCAAACGCTACCATGGGATGCGCACCACTGCTGGCTCAGTGCGAACAAGTAATAACTCCAGAAATGCTGCCAGCATAGCAACCCTAACTATGGGGTATGATCCCTTTGTGCCCTATAGTAAGTTGCATGTCCACTCAAGATCATCTCAGTATAAGAAGATGAAGAACGAATGGAGAAGTGTCGTTTATTTAGCAAGGTAAGTTAAATTTTTTTATATGTTATGAAACCCTTCTAAACTGTTATAAGCTGTTTAAACTGACATGTGTCATATTTGTTTGGGGTCCTCTATCACGGGAGATCTGTGCCTACTGGGGACCATGAGCCAGAGCCTGGTCCCCTCAGAGAGGCACAGGGAACAATGGCCTTATGAGCACCCTACATTTAGTGTGTGTCACGTCTGCCAACGATGGGGCTCCCCAGAGAAACCAGCATTGAATGTAACGAAACACCATTTTCTGGGTGAGCCCCAGAGGCACTCTGACACCCTCCCTCTCTCCAGTCAGCGTTTTTTCATCGCTCAAGAACTGGAGTGATGGGCTGCCGGCTCCCTCTGGGTAACACTAAAGAGAGGAAGTGCTAGTCGCATGAAAGGTTGCGAGTTTGATTATTTTATAAGGGAGTTATTTTGATCTTTTGGGATGTAGATTACAAAGGTTAACCAGACAGTGGTCTGTTTTGATTCACCTACGTTTCTGGGTCTTCCTCGGTCGATGGCAATTATTACATACTTTAAATGTAAAGTACTCATAGGCCATTGCTCCCTGTGCCTTTCTGAGGGGGCCAGGTTCTGGCTCATTGTCCCTGGTAGGCAAAAGACTCTGTGACTGATGACTCCAAACAAATATACCACATATCACTTTGGGATAGCTTGAGGGCGCCTCGGGGAATCACCCAGAAAATGACGTTTCATTACATTCAACACAGGTTTTTTTACAGTGTCATTAATGTGAATTTACAAATGTAAAATGCAATTCTGACCAGCTTACACATACCTTGTACACACATACTCTATGAACTGGTGGTGGAGCAGCCGGCTGACCTGATCTGCCTGCCTCCTCTCCCAAACAAGGGAGGTGGGGCAAATTAGCTCGCACTAGTTTCCAAAATTTTCAAACTTTTGTTTACATTGCTGGGAAATTCTTTTGAGGCTGCAATCTTTAGAGAATTTTTTTTTGCATAGACTGCTTCCTCCAGAATGGAAAGTACTAACACAGAATGTATCATCCAATGATATACAGGTACTGGGCCTTGAAACCATCTCTTGGTTTTTGTAACTTGTGTTATACGATCTGCTGTTTGTAGTAATGATTGAGAGCAGATAGGTAATTTATGGTTATGTTATTTGAACTTGGGTTTTCCATTTGGATGTAAACAAAATTTGGATATTCTGGAAGCCAAATGGCAACATTCACTGTGTTCAGTACTTGAAATGTGTTATAGCCTTAATTTATATTCCTATCCTAATGATTCCTTGCTAAATAACTGCTACTTTTGACAGATCTAAGATCCAAGGACTTGGTCTATATGCTGCACGAGATATTGAAAAAAACACTATGATCATCGAGTACATTGGAGAGATCATCCGTTCCGAATTGGCAGAGGTAAGTATCTGATAATTGCTAGTACTTTAAATTTACAGCATTTATTTATTTTTTGTCTTATTCTGAGACAAGATGAAGAACAGATGTTCTAAACTATTGTTTTATTCAAAACAGTTGTGTCTTGAATGGAATCTGGTTCAACATGTTCAAAAACATGGGGGTTTCCATAGGTCTTTGCTCCCTTAGCCTCTCTGAGGAGGCCAGGTTCTGGCCCGTGGTTTCCTTTAGGCATAGATCTCCAATTGCCTGATGCCACAGTCTGATACATACAGATCAGCCCGGTAAGCTCCGGGGAGCGTCTGGGGCTCACCCAGAAAATGGCATTTCATTCAACACTGGTATTTTCAGCCTCCGAACTGATGGTCCAACTGCTGGCTCTCCTGGTTGGGAACCCCCCCTCTCCCCCTATGAGGGGGAGAGGGGGGGGGAAAAAGAATTTGAAGTTTTAGAAACTCTATATGACTTCATTCAAGGAACTTTCAAAGGAAATAATGCAAGACACACTATTATCATATTGAGAAATATATTGGAGAGTATGTGACACACATTATTACTATAATAATTAATTTTAAACAAACAAATTAAAGGACTAGGTTTTCTTCTACATCCAGAGTTTCTGCTGAAGAAAAAATGAAGTTAATGTATTGAAATATGTTAACAGAAAAAACCTTAAGATAGATATTTATTGTTGTAATTGAATGACTAAATAATACACATGTAATATTAAAAAAGAATACACATGTAATAATAAAAAAGAATACACATGTAATATTAAATATTTGTTTTAAATTGGACAGTTGACAGTTAAATGATACCAGTAAAATGTGTTGATGCAGTATGTTAGCCAATATTTAAAATGTTCTGTCAGGTACGTGAGAAGCGCTATGAGGCTCAAAATCGAGGAATCTACATGTTCCGCCTTGATGATCAGAGGGTTGTGGATGCAACAGTAACAGGTGGTCTAGCTCGGTATGTCAACCACTCATGCGGCCCCAATTGCTATACTGAGACCATTGAAGTTGAGAGAGACTTGAAGATTCTCATTATTTCCAATCGCAAAATTCTGCGAGGAGAGGAGGTAAGTTTTATGTGCTGTACTCTGTACATATATGTATACAGGATGTGTATTTGCAAAAAAAAAAAAAAAATAAAAAATTAAATGCTTTCATGAATGTGAAAGCTTAAGGTGTAAAGGTGTAAGGTGTATATAGCTTAAGTTATAATTATTTCAAATTCATGAAAGTCCTAAAGGTCAAATTATTATATTTTTCAAAGCAACTACAATATGTTGCATGATTGATAATCATATGTTAAGAGATTGTTCTGCAAATTATATATTTATTACTGTGGTTATTAAATTGTCTCTATGAGGACATGTTTAGCACCCCAATATACAGTATGAAAGTGGAAGATCCGGACAACTTCTTTATGCATGATATCCCAACCCCCTGGAAATATAACTGATACCAACACGGGCATGGAAGATTTTGAAAGAGAAATTGACAACATGCCCATGCTCTTAGCCCTGGGTCCAGACTCATGGAATTCAATATTAATAAAGAAATGCAAAGCGCCAGTAGCACAGGCACTCGGTGTATTGTGAAGGAAGACCTTGGACATGGGGGAGATACCAGATGCCCATAAATCAGCAGACATAGCTTCTCTACACAAGGGAGGGAGCAAAGAATTGGCTAAGAATTGCAGCGCAATTGCACTAACATCCCATATAAAAGTATTTGAGAGAGCAATCAGGAGTCAGGTCACCAGTTTCATGGAGACCAATGACCTCCACAACCCAGGCCAACATGGATCTAGAAAGGGAATCTCATGCCTCTCGCCACTACTTGACCTCTACGACAAAATCACTGAGGCATTAGAAGAAAAACAAAATGCAGATGTGGTATACACAGACTTCACAAAGGCAATTGATAAATGTGACCGTGGAGTGATAGCACACAAAATGAAGTCACTGGGAATAACAGGTAAAGTAGGACGGTGGATATTAAATCTCCTGTCGAACAGAACACAGTAACATTCAACCAAACAAAATAAGAGTCCAAGTGCACTTAAAAGCTCTGTACCGCAGGGTACAGTCCTTGCACCACTGATTTTCCTTATTTTCTTATCAGATGTAGACAAAAATACAAGTCAACTTCGTATCATCCTCATTCTTTGCAGGAGACACGGGGGGAAGGGGGGGCTAGTTGGATGACGTGTTGCTTGTTTGTTTTCTTCCTGGGGGAGATATTTTGCTCTTTTGAGGACATATCCTCCATAGTATAACCAGATAGTGGTCTGTTTTGATTTGCCTACCTTTCTGGGTCCTTTCCCAGTCAACAGCAATTATGACATACTTTAAATGTAAAGTGCTCATAGGCCATTGCTGCCTGTACCTCTCTGAGGGGGCCAGGTTCTAGTTCATGGTTCCTGGTAGGCTAAATGACTCTGTGACTGATAACCCCAATAAATATAACTATATCAGTTTGGATAGCTTCTGGGAGCTGATGGGGGATCCCTTCAGAAAAATATAATGACAAATTAATGTACCAGCTGATCCCCCACATATTTAGTAATTTTTGCCAGAATCTTTTAGCAATTTTTGTTTATGAATTAGAATAAAAATAAAGAATTGCTCAACAACTAATTACTCATATACTATTTCAGTTGGCATACGATTATAAATTTGATGAAGAGGAGGATCACAAAATTCCCTGTCTTTGTGGAGCAGAGAACTGTAGAAAATGGATGAATTAAGGAGTCCCGGCAGAAAGTACAACGTCCCACGTGGACCTCTATTTCTTGCAACAAAAGACAAAATGGAAACGGAAATGTATTGGGTTTGTGGTATAAGATGTGTGCCTTGACACTTGAATACGCAGCATTACCAAACTCTTGTGGCCTCTTTAATAGAGTTAACATGAGTCAAAGTTTACTGCTTTATTTACTTGACTAAATGAAAAGATAACCTCAATTATCTCGCCAAAGTATATAGTTAATAGTGGTGTGTGGAATTTTATTTGAAATAGTGTGTAATTTGATCGTTCAAATATTTTTTTATATTTGTGTTTGCATGTGACTGAGTGCTTGTAAATTATATATGTAATATTTGTGTATATATGCTTTAATATTGCATTTGTACACTTACATTTCTATTTGAGTGAGTGTTTGCGAGTGTGTGTGTATATTTTAAAGCATTTTAATCGAAACATACATGTGCGGATGTTAAGGTGTGTGTTTGTATGTATGAAGAACATCATATAAGAAATAGCTTGAATTGTATTAAATTAATTTATTTATATTGAAATAAAGTTTCATGTCTTAATGGTTGTGTCGACCATAGGTGAAAGATCGTCCTTTATATATTTTTTTTATATATATTTTTTTTTTAACTGAAAAATGCAACAGTGAGTCAGAAATATTACTGTGACACTGAAGGTCAGAAAAAGTTGGATAACATAATGCATTTACGAGGCGTTATTCACATGGATGTGGTTGCTCAGTGTTTATATGGGAACGTTTTGCTTTTTATCGTTGGCAGGAACAGAAAAGCCAAGTGCCTTGTGCAAGGAAATCAGCTTTCCACGTCAGGGATTGGATTTAAACATTTTGTGGCTGAAGTGCAATTCTTTGTCCGAAAGGAAATGTGATTTCTAGTGTTTACAGTGAACTGGTTCAACTTTCCAATTTTTGACATGAGTGGCCTGAAAACGTTCTTCCAACACTTCTAAGACTGATTCTTATGAATATAGTACTATCATTCAATAGCACTCTTGTCTTATTCAAAACATAATTTAATTATATTGTTGGAAAGATGGCCCAGTTTATGTAAGTTGATTCTTAGTTACAAGGTGTATTTAAAATTTCTATTTACAGTGGATCTATTTTCACACTTAGGCTTAGTGCCTAGTATTACTTTGTAAATGGCTCACATTCTATTATAGCACTTATTGAAAACTTATATTTACAAAATTTCAAGAATTTTTAAGTGCATCCGTTTCATTCATGACCCTATGGTCATGTGAGCTCAAGTGCTTTTCAGATTTTTGTATTGGATCATGACTTTCAAACTGCAGCATCCCGTCCCTAGTGATGGCGATGCTGATAGTTCCAGTGGTCCACCATTCAATAGTGCATATTGCACTGAATTAATAATTGTTTTACCTCAGCAGAGTTCTGTGTCCAGTAAAAATTCAACTTGCGGTAACTTTTGGGTGTATTGGACTAAGAATAAAGGGATGCTGTAAAGCCTTGATCACTATAGAACATATTAGTAACTCTATAGCCTCCATCAAATGCCCAGGTTATATATTGCAGATTAAATAAGTAAAATGTATAGTCTTCTTTTAACTCAATGACAATGTATTTACTTTCAAAATCTCTATCGGTTGCTTAAGTTTTTTCAAGTTTTATCTTTAAATATGTATTTTCAAAGCTTTTAGTAAATCTGGACTAAGATTTAGCTTTTCTTGCTTTTGCATTTTCTCTCCCAGATATAAATGGACAAGCATGCCAAAGCAATTAAATATTAATTTTAACTTAATTGTTTTCCCTTAAGGTTAAGTTGTTGTCTGTGTTTTTAATGTAATTTATAATTATTTTCTTTTATAAATCCTAATTAGAAATCTAAGGCATTTTAGGCATATGGAATACAGTGCTATATATACAGTATAGCATTGTCCTTAGACCCTGTGGGGTAATTCAAGGGCATATACAATATTGCCCACATCCCTGTGAAACTTAAATGTCAGCCAGTAAGTGGCATGGTGGCTTGAGAAGTCTGGTATGGTGAAAACATATTCTTCCACGTTAACATTTGTTGCTTAGCTTGTATATTTAGAGATTTTAGAACATAGCAGAGGTAAGAGAACAGATCCTAGTTTTAAACTACCACAAGCTACCAGGTAAATGTTAACACAAATGTTTTTCTGTACTACACTTTTCATCCACATCCACATCTCTGATCCTGAATTCTCCCACCTTCAAACAAGTGTATCAAGTTGGATATCAAGTATTATGCCTAGCCTCGTGGATTACGTATTTTATCTGAAAATATTTGTATTATATAAGTAACCCAAGCATTCTCATGTTTGATGTGTATCGTCAGGAGTCATAATTGGCTCATGGATGTCCTGCTGTTTGTGTGGAATTATGAAGCTGAACAATGTCAATATGTAAATATATTGTTGAATACAGTCAATAAATCATTTTTCATGTATGTATTTGTATCCATGCACTGTGATATACCACTTAATTTGTCAAAGTTTAATTTAACCCATTATGCAAGTTTAATTATAAGTAATATACATATTGTAAATATGTATAGGGGGTGATAGGAGAAGTGAACACTTATTCGTTTTCAGTTAAATGGCAAGTTTTTCTCTGAATGCTCTGTGTTCCCTTCTTTGAGGCTGTGGGTCCCTATAATTGCACCAGAGGTGGTACCCCTTCCCTATTGTAAATATGTATATTATAATTATAAGTAAATAGTGACATCTCGGCTTACGGATGCCCCATTTACGAACTTTTCGGGTTACGAGCCCAATTTCTTCATAAAATCCGAATTGGGTTACGAGCTTTGTCTCGGAAAACAAAGTTTGTTGATATACGTATGGCCAATCTAGCAAGTGGTGGCACGGCAATCTCGCCTCAGTTTACCAGTGCCTCCTGCCTAGTGACAATCGCACCTGAATTCTTTGTAAAGGATTACAGGTTTTCTTTTTCGGATTTTTGGGTATTTGGACATAAAAGTTATTATATATCTCGCCATGGGTTCCAAGAAAGCTAGTGGTAAGGTTCAAGCCAAGAAAGCACATGTGAGAAAGACCATAGAGGAAAAACAAGAGATCATTTGTAAACATGAAAATGGTACACAGGTTGTTGAACTAGCTAGGCAGTACAACAAATATATGTCAACAATATGCACTGTACATACTAAGGAGGACATTATGAGTGCCAAAGTGGCAAAAGGCATATACCAAATCACGAAACAAACACAAACACTTAAAGATGTTGAAAAGTTATTAATTTGGATACACGACAAGGAGTTAGCAAATGATAGTATTTGAATGGCCATCATTTGTGAGGAAGCAAGGCAATTGCACAAAATTTTCCTTTTAAAGAAAACCCCTGGAACAAGTGCTCCAGATGCAAAAGAGTTTAAGGCAAGCAGAGGATGGTTTGAGAAATTTAGAAAAAGAAGTGGTATTCATAGTGTTGTGAGGCTTGTGAAGGTTGCCAGCTCAGACAAACCAGCGGCTGAAAGATTTATTGACGACTATAAAGATTTGGAAGGGGACTCCTCTTCCAAACACTAACACCTTTCATGTTGGTAACACATCTGGAGAGAAGGGACTTCGTGACAAATCGCCAACATGGATTCAGGGAGGGTAAATCTTGCCTTACAGGCTTGATAGAATTCTACGATCAGGTGACACAGATTAAGCAAGAAAGAGAGGGCTGGGCGGACTGCATTTTCTTGGATTGTCGGAAAGCCTTTGACACAGTACCGCATAAGAGGCTGGTACATAAGCTGGAGATAGGCAGGTGTAGCTGGTAAGGTGCTCCAGTGGATAAGGGAGTATCTAAGCAATAGGAAGCAGAGAGTTACGGTGAGGGGTGAGACCTCCGATTGGCGTGAAGTCACCAGTGGAGTCCCACAGGGCTCTGTACTCGGTCCTATCTTGTTTCTGATATATGTAAATGATCTCCCGGAGGGTATCGATTCATTTCTCTCAATGTTTGCGGACGATGCTAAAATTATGAGAAGGATTAAAACAGAAGAGGACTGTTTGAGGCTTCAAGAAGACCTAGACAAGCTGAAGGAATGGTCGAACAAATGGTTGTTAGAGTTTAACCCAACCAAATGTAATGTAATGAAGATAGGTGTAGGGAGCAGGAGGCCAGATACAAGGTATCATCTGGGAGAGGAAATTCTTCAGGAGTCAGAGAAGGAAAAAGACTTGGGGGTTGATATCACGCCAGACCTGTCTCCTGCAGCACATATCAAGCGGATAACATCAGCGGCATATGCCAGGCTGGCCAACATACGAACGGCATTCAGAAACTTGTGTAAAGAATCATTCAGAACTTTGTATACCACATATGTCAGGCCAATCCTGGAGTATGCAGCCCCAGCATGGAGTCCATATCTAGTCAAGGATAAGACTAAACTGGAAAAGGTTCAAAGGTTTGCCACCAGACTAGTACCCGAGCTGAGAGGTATGAGCTACGAGGAGAGACTACGGGAATTAAACCTCACTTCGCTGGAAGACAGAAGAGTTAGGGGGGACATGATCACCACATTCAAGATTCTGAAGGGGATTGATAGGGTAGATAAAGACAGTCTATTTAACACAAGGGGAACACGCACAAGGGGACACAGGTGGAAACTGAGTGCCCAAATGAGCCACAGAGATATTAGAAAGAACTTTTTTAGTGTCAGAGTGGTTGACAAATGGAATGCATTAGGAAGTGATGTGGTGGAGGCTGACTCCATACACAGTTTCAAGTGTAGATATGACAGAGCCCGATAGGCTCATGAATCTGTACACCTGTTGATTGACGGTTGAGAGGCGGGACCAAAGAGCCAGAGCTCAACCCCCGCAAACACAACTAGGCGAGTACAACTAGGTGAGTACCTCTCCTCCTTTTCCCCCGTCTTCATATGTCAACAAGATTCATCAGTAAAGGTAAGTAATATCTTTTATATACTTTAGTACTGAAGATTTGGGTGAATTAGGTATAAAATTTACTCTGAAGTTAATTTTTTGGGGAGTCTGGAACGGATTAATTCAATTTACATTATTTCTTATGGGGAATTTCGCTTCAGTTTACGAATATTCGGCTTACGAGCCGTCTCTGAGAATGGATTAAATTCGTAAACTGAGGTACCACTCAGCTTTTATGTTATATATATATTTATATTATTATTATTATCAGTAGTAGTAGTAGTATATTTTGGTAGCAGTCTTTCTTGTAAACATATGTTGTTGAATATGACCAAAAAAGTAAGATTAATAATTCTAACACGAACTTTTTCAATATTTCTTATATTTTCTTCACTGTCGGTGGTAATGAAAATATAAATTCTCCAAAACTCATTTTTATTAATGGTCTGACGCCTAGAAGCACTTTGTAAGGGCTTCTTACATACTCAAAGACTTCTTTACACTTAATACTACACTTATGATACACTTGATACACTGTGTATGAAACATTTGACATAACACTTGCTTTTTATTGGTTGTGGGTGAGGTGGGTATTGGTTGAGGTGGGTACATGAGAATGGAAGTAACTGCAGAGGGCATATTGGGCCATACGGTGCCTTGAAGTGGGTAGAATATAGTTGTGCATTAATCGGCGGTTGATTGCTGGTGTTGACTCAAACACCAGCAATCTTGAATTTTTGTACCAACCCACAGATCCTGATGTTGCAATTGCTGTGTTGTGGTCACTGTACATCTTTTGCATTGCTCTGTTTCTAATTACTGTACTTTCTTAATCTGTGATAGACTCTGTGGTATGTAAATATCTACATTTCTTCTCTTAATTGCAGGTTTTGCAGCTTTGTCTGCAATGTCATTTTCTATTGTTCCCACATGACTTAGCACCCAGTTGATAAGTACCCAACGGCCTTGTCGTTTGAGTGTTTGCATTAATGATATGACATTTGTGATCAGATGGATATTATCACATATGTGTTCTTGTTGCAAGGTTTCAATGGCAGTTCTCAAATCTGTATGTATGATAATATGTTGTCGGTGTTCAGCAAGAGCATGTTCCAAAGCCCTTTGAATGGCTAGCATCTCTGTAAAGCTGAACACCCATTTGAAAGTCTCGCAACTATTTACAGAGTTTCCTACCTTAACTGCAGCTCCGGTTTCTTATCCCTACTGGTCTACTGATCCATCTGTGAAGTATGTGAAGCTGTCAGATGCCAAGTTTGCATCTATATGCATCTGTGCAATGTTATGTAGCAGATGAGGATTAGTCTGGTTCTTTTTTCCTTCAAGAGCCATAATCTTAGTCTGCTGGCAGTGATTCCCAAGGGGTTTGCACAACGAAGTCTGCATGTATTTTGTCAACTCTCGGCGATTGTGTTTGTTATATCGAATGTATTGATGGTGTTTATCGCACAAATATAAGCGTTGAAATGTTTGATTAGTGTATTAGTTCTCAACAAATACCAAGTGTAATTACAGTACTGTATACAGTATATTTATCACAGGAAGGATTACTGATACAAATAAAAGAATATATAAAATTATAACATTTATGACAAGTTAACATAAAAAACTATGATCAAGTAGAGAACTATTCAGTGTCTTGATAACAGATCAGGAACAACATTAAATAAAAATATTATATATATTATATATATATATATATTATATATATATACAGTATATATATATACATTTATATATATAATATATAAAAGCCATGTACACAAAAATATATTTTACACATTACGGACATTAAGAACACATCAACTAAGAATTAGATCACTAAAATAAGAGGATGTATAATTCCAGTTTTGGAGGCAATAGAACCATTAGATAAAGTTTGCATTGCCAATGACAGAACAATATGCTAAACTCTCTGCATTATGACCATATAATAAATTAAATTGGTTAATTTAACAAAATATTAATCTTCAGGTAAGTTGAATATAATGCTACAATTTCTAAAATTAGATTTAAGATTTCCAAGTACAAAATAAGTTTTTGGATTATCTATAGTCTAATAATTTTCTAATGGATTTAAGTTGCTAATTTGGTGCTGCTTATGTGCATATTGATATTTGGTTCCTTCATCGAAGAGGTAGCAGTATAGTTGCTAGTAAATCTAAGTGGATTCACCTGCTCAGAGTGTCACGTTTAATATTTGAATGTGTAAGGCCATATATTAGACTAAAGCCTAGAACATTGGCCTCCAGTTACTCAAAACATAAGGAGAAATGTTAGTAAGCAAAATGTCTTTCGAGAGTGAAATAATTTACATAAGCCAAACAATAACCGGTCAAGGGGTATCATCTCTAATTTGTTAACTTTTCTGTGGGGAGCCCCATCGGCTCCCTGAAGCTATCTGAACTGATATGTGCTATATTAGTTTGGGGTCATTAGTCAGGAGTTTTTATACCTACCCAGGGACAACGAGTCAGAACTTGGCCCCCCTCAGAGAGGTGCAGGGAGCAATGGCCTACGAGCACTTTACAATTAAAGTATGTCAGAATTGCCATCCATCGGGGAAAGATAGGAGAATCAAAACAGACCACTGTCTAGTTAACCTGTGCAACCTACGACCCTCAGAATCTTGTCCGTATTACGGCCACTTTAGCTGTGGGGCTCATTTTTATTAAACAATAAATAAATAATTAATGTTATGCATCTTATCCCCTGGCAAACGCAGTAGGTAGGACTCCCTCCCCCCCCACCTCCCCCCATGGGCTGGTAGGGCTGGCACCATTCTCCGACTGCAAGACCTTCGCGGAAGACGCTTTTCAGCAGGACTGGTACCTGTTTGATACCCGCTTGATGGGGTTCTGGAAGATGTTCTACTCACCAAGCCCGGCTTGAGGCCAGGCTTGACTTGCGAGAGGTTGAAGTGGGGGTTCCCGTACCCCTTTCCCCTGGTCAAGCTGTTGCTCTGGGTTCTTGCTCGGCTGGATTCATATCAGGGGTGAGTGGTTCTCCTGGCTCCATGGTGGCCAGCCCAGCCTTGGTTTCAGGTGCTGCTTGCTCAGTGTCCAAACCCAGGTGGTGGCTCCGCCTCCTTCAGCAGGTCGGGCCAGTGAGGTACCTCCCTGGTTCACCTTACTGCTCTGCATTACGAATCGGGTCTTTTTAATGTGTGTGTGTGTTGCCATTTATATGGTGATCAGGTGGCTTTGATGGTGTCCCACCTGTAGTATTCTTCCCAGTGACAGAATGAAATTTCTTGGCAGTCTTTCCATCTCTTTCTCTTCAAAGGTTTTCGTCAATTTTGGACCAGGTTGTTTTGTGCTTCCTCTCTTGGCTTTTTCTAGATCGGCATCTCATGCCTAGTACTGTCGCTTCTTATAGCGCAGCGTTGGCGGATCCATTCCAGCTTATGTCCGGGGAGGTGGATGTTGCTTCAGCTCCATTCTGCAAGCTTTCACGTGAATTTTTTTTCACCTCCGGCCTGCTCATACGCTGCCCGAGTCTTCTTGGTCTTTAGGGCATGAAATTTATTTTCTTTCTTCAACTCGCTTTGCTGTGGTCCCTTTGGTTAGGGATTGCTTTTGGATGTTCTTGGCGTTTGGGGGGGTCGGGTTGGGGAGCCTCGTGCTCTCTGACGCCGGGGGTTCTGTTCGTTTGGTTTAGGTGGTCGTTTTGTTCGTTTGCAGCCTTCATCTTTTCTAGCGAAGAATGAGGCTTTCGGAGGGGGTCCATTGTTTGTGGATGCTTGGTTGGTTAGGCTTGGGGTGCAACACGTGTTGTGTCCGGTGGCGGCTTTACGCCGCTACCTGCGGGCCACTGGTTCTGTGACGGTGGACACACTTTGGGTGGATCTGGTTTCCCTGGTTTCCTGTTTCAGAGCTTTTGTGTCTCAGCTTGTCTGCGGTGTCATCAAGTCCAGCTAGCCTGCAGTCTATCCTCGTGCCCATGATGTTTTGGAGTATGCTGCTGTCGCAGAGGTTTTTGGCAACATGTCTTGGGTAGACATTTGGGCGCAGGGCTTTTAGAGGTCAAATAGGGTCCTGGGTGGACCCTATCCACCCAGAGTCGTAGTGCTAACGAGCGGAAGTGCTAGTCGCATGAAGGGTTGCTTGTTTGGTTTCTTTCTAGGGGAGTTATTTTGATCTTTTGGGATATAGATTCCATAGGTTACCCAGACAGTGCTCTGTTTTGATTCGCCTGCCCTTCTAGGCCCTTCCTCGGTTGATAATTATGACATACATACTTTAAATCTAAAGTGTTCATAGGCCATTGCTCCCTGCGCCTCTCTGATGGGACCAGGTTCCGGCTTGTGGTTCCTGATAGGCATAAGAAATCCTGTGACTGATGACCCCAAACTAATATAGCACTTATAAGTTTGAATAGTTTCAGGAAGCCTCTGGGACTCGCTCAGTAAATTGCATCTCATTACATTTAACACTATTTTTTATTCTAGTATGACAAGACTGCTTCACCTGTTTAATGCAAGAATCATAAGCAAGGTTATCTATAACACTAACATTAGAATATAAACTAGACTGCCTATAATATTATTACAATGACTGGTTGCAGCATAGACAAGCTCCTAAATGTTGTGTCTTTTATAAGAAAAGTTACCTTGTAATAGCAGGTGGGACAATTCTGCCTACACTTGGGATACCACTAGCAATGGGGAAAATATAACAAAATAACAACCTTTTATATATATGAAGGAACGGGAACACATTGACCTTTAATTTTGAGAGGCAACTTCAGGCTACTATGTGAACGAGTAACATAATGACAAACTATTGGCAGATACATCAAAACTTGGGTGATCTAACCAGAAAATAAACTTAGGGAAATGCCAATAGTTAATAAATTTTAAATAATTTACTATTTTAAATTAAGGAAGTGACAATAAATTTACAAAGGTGTGTAGTAAAACTAGATAAGTCTAAAATGGCAACTTAACAAGGTGGCTAAGTCCAAAAGACGGAAACTTAACGGCCTGGTGCTCCATATAATTGAGATGGTAGTTTGATCTCAGTTGGTGGGTTATACAGAGATTTGATAGAAACAGGTGCAGTGGCAGGTTTAGAAGGTAGAGGTAATGGCGCCAGAGTTGCCTGAGGGGCCAGAACCGATAGGTCCAGTGTAGGGAGAATAATTTTGGGAAGGGAAGGCAGCTGGGGCAGAGTGATGGGAGGTGGTGCAGGGAAGTTTGCAGTAGTTGCCACTCGTACCAGATCCCCAACTCCCGTGCCCAAGGCAGTTGCAATACCTCCTGCCGTCTCCACAAATGCACCCCCAACTCTCACACCAGCGTTAAATGCAGTGGCCCCGACATCCAATCCAGAAGCGCCAAGCTTAGCAATGATGCGTCCCTTGAGGGCAAGTGTATCCTGTATTAACCGGATGAAGATTTCTAAGGCATCCTTCAGAATATCATTCTTGGCCTCAAAAATATCACCAAAATCATCCGCAGATTCTGCCAGGACGTCGCTGATGGCATATGTGAGAGGCTGACTGGCGCGGATAACTTCCGACAGTACACGAGCCTTTATGCTGGGCACCTGTAAATAAAAACACATGATACAAAGACCTGATGGTATTTTATGCAGGTATTTATTTGAGAATCAGCAATAACAAGAATACTAGTGCAATATCTTGCTTATAGACCCTCAAAAGAAAATATCAGGCTAAACATTAAAATACATGCTTATATGTCCTACTAACATTCAAACTATAATAAAAATCCTTAAAAAATAACCCTATAGAAATACTCAATACTTTACTGATGAGATCTTATGTTTTGCTTCACATTTAAGGAGGGAAACAAAGCATATTGCCCCATTACTTGTAACTAACATTTTCATTCGCCCTGATCTGGAAGCCAGTCATTGCTGCTTGAGGATGTGGCTTAGCTTTCAAGCTTGGCCCAGATAAAAGCTTGAAACTGAGCTTACCTGTAGAAGAACTCTAAGGACAGCAGCACTGAGCTGGCCAGCATATTGTAGACCCTGGGTTGCTGCTCTGACGCCTTCAGCTTTGTTCTCAGCAAGCCACCTAGTGAATGAAAATGAGGCTATTAATTAAATGACTAATCATTAAATCAGCAAATATTCTTGTCTATCACAAATTCTTCTAAACCAATATTTTGACATTCGAGTTCTACGAAGCAAGAGCTGGAGCTCGGCCCAAGTAATTGAAAGGTGTCTTTCTAAGATATGTATATTGCATTAAAAATTTACTTTTTTTATGTGATTTCTCTATTGGTTATCATGGTTATCCCTCAATATTGACCAAGAAATTTACAACCAAGTTAATAATGTAAATCATTATTCCTATAATAAACACAGAACACACAATTTTTTTTAATTATTTCAACCCGAATATGATGCATATAACATCTATAAATTAACTTCATGGTAACACTTGTACAAGAGCAAACTACATATTTGATACTATCTTAATATGGCTACCGACACATATTCAACATTTTTCTTTAAACTAAATCTCTCCCCATAATACATGGGATAACTAGAGTACTAACCTGGCAGCTTGGACTCCTCCAGCGGCCGCAGCAGGAACCACCTGAGCCAACACCTGCGACGCCCCCTTCCCCACGGTGGTGAGTGTCTGGGTGACGCCTCCAGCCAGGCTCGACGCTCCTGCCAACACCTGGCCCAGGTTAGCACTGACGGAGATGTCCGGCAGGGGCAGGGTAATGGCCGGCTTCGCTGGCAGCGACGCTATCGACTTTGTCACGGTAATTTGCGGCGCACCGTAGGAGACGCTGTGATGGGCGGGAGCAGTGTTACTGGATACTATTACGTAACGAAATGGAGAAATGATAGCAGAGGAATAAGGTATACTAAACGTAAGAGAAGTGAAAGGTACTGTATTAGAAGAGATAAGAACACAGAAATGATAATACAAGTGCAGTTTGAATAATAAATTGTCAAAAGAAGGCACCAAATCTGTATAAGACTATATAATCGTAAATATAGTATGGGTATTATGAATCTTTAATTTTGTTGATTGTTTAAGTTAATGTATAACTTAAATCTGATTATATGTGAACTAGGTACAATAATTATGCCGAATGAAATATTGAAATTGAATCTAGCCATTTATATAGCTTAGTTCTTTTCATGAACTTTAGCTCCAGCTCCATAAGGATCCTTATAATGCACCCCAGAGTCTGCCAGTGCAGACTACTTATCACATGCCTCTGTATGACTAACCATCCTGTGTGATGGGGATTTTTAGCATCACGTAGCTAGCTTTTTGACACATTGTACTCCCCTTCATACAGTCTAGGGTAGCAGCACAAATGCAGATATGGGCACTGCTTGAAAGCAGAGAAATTTCTGTGAGAAGAAAACATGAACAGCGGTTTGCGTCAATCACGCATGCAACAAGTCAGGGTACTTAATGTGGGCAGCGGAGGTCACGACTTACAGGCTATTCATGCCCATGCAACCTTGTATGCTACAATGTACTTGTCGAGAAATCTCAAATTTTACAAAAATGTACCTACTAATTTTCTTCAAATGTTCTTACAATGCACCTGTTAACTGTTTTAAATTTTGCTACAAATTACCTACTTAATATTACCTGTTAGATTAAGGACTTGCCCGAAACACTATGCGTGTTAGTGGCTTTACAAGAAAGTAAAAACATCAATGCTATGTACTCTCATAAACCCAATGTACCTTCTAGTAAATAAATAAATAAATCACGGAGGTGACAGGAGAATGAAGTACCTCAGTCGCAGTCTGTCGATACCCAGTGCGAGCACATATAAGTGCCTGAGATGCAGTCTGAGCTGCTCTTTTTATAGTGCACACAGGACCGAGAATGCTGGGTGGTGGTGGCATCCACAATTAATGTTGCGGGCTTTATACGCCCAGACTCTACAGTGGACAAAAAAAACCATTTCACTGCTGTAAGCCAAAGCATAATGAACAAACGTCTACCAAGTATCGCACTGCACGGGGAGGCGATGTGCAATAATCACGGAAAGAACCTTTGATACCTTTCTAAGACACCCGAAGTTAGGAGAGCTCAACTGCAAAATACAATTCTGACAATGCAGGAGAGTGAGCGGCGTAGCGTGCAAGCGTGCACAAGCATGAGCCGAGGCAAGGGCGTTTAGAGTATGATACACCGTGACTACCATGGTTAAAAGAGGGAGGGGAAGTGGGAGGGGGGATAATACGGTGCCATCACCGTTGCAATGAAGGAGTTCTGACAGGTGTCCACAGGAACCTGCCGGGCTCTTATCAGAGCACTCAAGCTCCACCACCGCGACAAGGTAACTAGCAAGGTGGTGACGCAAGAGCACGACAACATTAGTTGTGTAAACACAGGTAAATGCTTCCCCCATTATGGCTTTTCATATGTCCACTCTCTCAGAGCTCCGTCGATTTTATATTTATATTTCTTCATATATAATTTTCTATAATTTTATGGAAAACATTTAATCTACACATCTTCCATTTGTTGTAAACCAATTACTTCACTGTATTTGTTAGAAGGACAAGCAAGTGACAACTTCTAAATTCATTCAATACTCAAGGCAGCAGAAGTCTGCGACAAATGTTTCATGTTCTCATTTATGGTCATAAACAAATGCAAGTGATTACATTGTCCTGGAGAAGGGAACTATCAGGGGAAAGCGCCAAGCCATTAAGACTATAGCACTTGGAAGGGATCAGGATAAGGATTTGTAATGAGTCGGGGGGGGGGGGGGAGGGGAATGGAATGGTGCCCAACTAAAAAGGTCGGGGATTGAACACCGACCTGCATGAAGCGAGACCGTCGCTCTACCGTCCAGCCCAAGTGGAGATTCAGCAAAACAAAATGTCACGCCTTATATTGAAGGTGTGTAATGATACAAACAGAATAGCTAATGTACTAATTTCTTACTCACGTTGGTAGTGGAGCCGGTGATGGAATGATCTCATCGCCATAGCTGCCAAGGGAGCCGCTGTTCAAGGAAAGAGGAATTAGCCGTGTGCACATACCTTGTCTCTTCTGAAATAATATCTTAATGACTTCTGGCATGCTGATGATTTTGATATTTAATTATCATTACAATTATGTGAAATCTGAGCAGAACTTGTGAAATGCTTTGATACATGAAGGATTATTGTCAAGTTAGTCACGTCAAGGAATATTATCTTAGAAGTACATAAACAGAGCTTAAGATATAGTAAACTTGATATACATAATTTGCCCTTAGAAATACATCAACTTAACCAGTCAACAGCTACAGACTCCCACAGCTGCCAACAGTCAAGGATCAGTCAGTGTCCTCAGCAGTACTTGAGCTTCACCAGTCAGTTGCACAGTTGTCCATCTGCTTCACCAGTCACTATCACGTGGCTAATATGGATGTGACGCAGCTGTTGGGACGGGCGTGGTCAGCTGGTAGGCCGTATGCTGGCAATGTTGTCAGTGGGCGGGAATGTGAAGGGCGGCGCCCACTTAACCAACACCAGCAGCAAGTCAACTAGTGCTTCTCAGTCATTTAGTGAACAGTTAATAGATATAAATAAAGGGGGGTGCAGAGTTCCACAATGATAAAGGAAATAAAGGACTTACATGAGATTTTAATACAGCTTAAAGATACATTGGGAGAACATAGAGTCTCATTAATGTGGGTTTCTCTAAAGGTTCTTAAACCGTGTAATGTTTTATTGAATTACTTAAATCTTGTATTCAAGATGAAGAGGGGCTCAAAACCCTTTGTTCTATTCCCATGAACCACTATTGGAATATGTCGTAAATGTGGCGTGTGGGGTTATGTCACTACCTCTGGCATATGTCATTTGTACATTTGTCAACAGAAGACCATCATACCCTAACATATTGGGCCACGTAACGAGGGAAGCAGCTTCTAATTACCCTTAGAAAAAAAAAACTGATCTGAAATGTTCACTTTCCAATAAATGAAACTATGTTATTCGCTTCACGTCTGACTCTTACGTTATATTATTCTTTTAACGTTGAATTACAAGGTTACAAGATTCGCACATGTCTCCATACACAAAGAAAATTAACTCCTTTTTAACAACGTGTAACTTTATATACATACTCAACGTACATATTGAATTATTATTAGTATTTTTTTTTGAAAACCATAGTTTACTAAGAAAAGTTATCAGACGAGAATAACCCTTTATTCACTTTACCGAATTCACTTTAACGCGCTCGGCGATATGGACTGGACCTTCCTGAAAGTGAAATCGACGTTTTCGGGTGACCGAGTGGCAACACTGAAAAGTGCATACTCTTTTCGCTGTCCTGACCTTAATTTTCGATGTACAGATTTCATTCTTATACCAATGTGTTCGCAATATAATGATCTATAGGAACATATAAGAACATATGTATATGTCATCAAAGCACGAGTTAAATCTCACAAAAAGCTAAAGAACTACATCGATAACGAGCCGTGAGCTCCAAACAGCGACGAAATGTTTCTATTCTTTTCAGGGTTGTCAACTCCACACTTGTCCTACAGCGTTAAATTTGGTGTCACTGTGATCGCAATTAAATTCCCTACACGGACATATGCATATAAATGTAGAATCATGATCGCGGCTCACACCAAGAGTGTGTGAAGTGCGCGATTACACTTGCTGTGTCAATAATACAATAGTCTTTCCACTAAGTTACAATACAATGCCGTTCTTCTAAATATGCCATGTGCCTATTAGAGAAAACGAAAATTTAATGGCAAACATTTCCATACTATCCCCAAGTCGATCGAATAAGAATTGGATTTTATACAAATATTTTTTAATCGCGCGTAAATTTACGACGCACCTGTACTTCCAGGAAAAAATACGCGTCGTTTATTTACGACTTAGGAGCGTTAAAGTGTTTTAAGACACTATAGGTGTCAACCAGCGCAAGTCAAGAGGGTGTCTGGCCTACACGGAAGCTATGGCACTCATTCCATCAACCATACAACTCCTTGCAGCAAATAAGCTGTCATATGATTTCTTGGCCACCCGGTAACTGCCGCTGCCTCCCACCACCTGACGGGAGACATCTCCCGTCACACAGGGTGCAGTCGCACCTCCACAGATCTCCTGTGGAGGTGCGAATGGCTCAAAAGAGCCACCACTTATGGGCTATTCATGCCCGTGCCACCTTTTGGGTGGCTTAATCTTCATCAATCAATCAATCCCACCACCTCAACCACTCACTACCGCTGCTGTATAAACACCTCACTGTTGTATATTCCACCCCGCATGCCACAACAGCCAGTCAGTACCTACAACCATCACCATAACTACACAAGTAACACAAAGGTAACATAATAAGACAACAACAATCCTAGTGTAACCCAAATAGTTTACAGCTTACAAATAAAGCAGCAACAAAAACAACTTGCACAGCTACACTCAACAAATACCACCACCACTACCACTACTAACTACTCAACAACCACCACCACTGTTTCCACCAACTAATCACGTCTATCATGCAGCTGTGGAAGGCGGTAATGGCTACTGTCTAAGAACATGTACCTAAAGGCACGTCTGGGGTTTGGGCACCTTAAGACGACTTCAACTACAATTGCTAACAACTTCTAAATATATAAATATAATTTTACAACTGTTCATTAATTATTACTATTTTACAGTAGATATAACTATTCAAGAATATATATATATATATATATATATATATATATATATATATATATATATATATATATATATATATATATATATATATATATATATATATATATATATATATTATATATATTATAAATATTATATATATTATATATTATAAATATATATATATATATATATATATATATATATATATATATATATATATATATATATATATATATATATATAAGGTTAAGATATAGCCTATACAAGTCATCGTTCAAATTGTCATTAAGGATGCACCAACCCCGCTCAAATTGCACGCTATGAGCCTGTCCTCTCGAATTATACACTCCATTTTGAAGTCAAAATTCTCAGCGGACAAAGTATGATGTACTTTCAATCAAAGCGGCTCATAAACATTCACATTTTTTGTGTGCGTGGGTCGCTTAGTTAGGTTAGGCTCGGGTGTTTTAATTCACCGTTTTCTACCCGATGTGACAACTCGAGAGAACAGGCTGGGTTATGTGTGTCATTAAAGTTGTCTTAAAATTATTCTACTTTTACAGCTGTTCTGTCCCTCCAGAACTATATGGTTGTATATATAAATATTTGGAGAATACAGGACCTGAATCTAAGAACTCAACTGAGAGCATGGCCGGCCTTACGCAACTCAGCCACACGTACGTGCGTGTGTGTGTGTGTGTGCGTGTGGGGTGGGTGGGTGGTTGTGGGTGTGTGGGTGGGTGTGTGTGCTCTGCAGCCAGCCAGCAATCAATCAACCAACCAGCCAGCAACTAGCTAGCAACCAGCCAGCCAGCAACCAGACAGCCAGTCAACAACCAGCCAGCCAGCCATCTGTAACCCAGCCAGCCAAGCAGCCAGCCAGTCAACAAGCAAGGCTCCAACTCACTCGTCTACGATGAAAGTGGGGCTCCCTTCCGACGAGTCACTGGGGAGAGAGGTACATTAACTAAGGCAAACAGGGGACGACACGTAATGTGGTTGAAATAAGGGAGACAAACTGGGGAGGGAGAGAGAGAGAGAGACGGGGGAAAGAGAGGAGACAGAAAGGCACAGAAGACATGGGGGAGAAAGGAGTCGCACAAAAAGAGAATAAAACGGATATAAACGGATGGAGAGGAAGCAGAATAAGGCGGGAGTAAAATGGAATCATTTGGGGGCTAAGGAAACGTTGAACGGAGGAAACAAAAAAAAAAGGAGAAATTTGACGGGGAGTGGAAATCAGCGAGGTAGAGAAGTCAACAGTGATGAGAGAGGAGCCAACAGGGATGAGAGAGGAGCCAACAGGGATGAGAGAGGAGCCATCGAGACAGAAAAGTCAGCTGATATCGGAGACCAGATGGAGAAAACGGAGCCGAACACCCATGAAAGTGAAGAGTAACCGGCAGACACACGGCCTAAGACGCAAGGCCTGCTCACACGGACATCAGTAGGTGATGTACCAAGGATGTTACTCCACCGTATGATATACATTTATTATATATTAGCCTATTGTGTAATATTATGTACAGTATATTATATATACATATATAATATATTATATATATATATATAACATACTTGGTTCTCGTTCAGTGTCCGAGGAGTTCAAAAAAATCTACAACTTACAAGAATTTGATCTTTATGTTCTACTTTGTAACTAATCATTTTTGTAACTGTAACTTTGTACAATGAAGCACACAAAAAAGTGAGCTTGGCAGAGGACAACATCAAAGTGCATACACGGGGTCCAATATGGATCCTTCTAATGCCATTTATTCTCTTCTTTAAGGTTAAGGATTCTCTCCAGAGGTGGTACCCCCCATTTTTTTAAATATAAAAAAGCTTAGGCTATAGGTCAATTTATATTATACCAACAATACTCTACGTTGCTTGACTTTAAAACATTATTGTACTGTCAGCAAAGTGATGACTTGTGCAAGAACTCTGCTTAAAGTTTCCTCAAAGTTTTTTTTTTACTTAAACAGTACACTAACTACGTATGCATTGTCAACATATTATTTTTATGACAACTATTGAAACCTTGCTTTACTAATAAACTAATTATACATTTTGTCTCTGTGTTAGTAAGCTTTATTTTTAAGGACGTTTATAAGACAAACTCTATATACACGAGTGAAGGCAACAATGAAAGTGAGGCTGTAATACCTTGGTGCGCCGTAGAGCTGCGAGATCTGGCGGATCTCCCTCTTCAGCAACTCCTTTGGGATGGTAATGATCTCGTACTCTACCTGCGGGAGGCAAGGAGAGAGTGAGAGAGACTGAAGCTGCAGCATGGACTATCTAATGCTTACCAGTAGTTCTTCCAAACACCACCAACCTCATCCAATTGTCCTAACGCAACTATTTTGAATTTCTTTCGTTGGCAAAGAACAAATCCACAAGGGCCGTGACGAGGATTCGAACCTACGTCTGTGAGCATCCCAGACGCTCTGGGTTTTTCCATTGGCTTCTGTGAACTTCCAAGAGCTCCTCTCTAAGGGAAGTGACTAAGGCAGGAAATCTTCGTAGTAGTTCTATATCAATACTCGTCTAACTTGTACCATTTCCCACTATACCCTCGTAGGATCTTCCTGTATTTCAAATTTTCCGTCTACTCAGTAACTTCTCCTTAAAATATTGTCAGCCAAGATTCTGGGTGTCCAAACCCTTGTTAAGTATGTTCTTGCCTGCCATCCCACAAGTCATAATATTCAATGCCTGAAAACCGCGTATTAATGGTATTATTTATGTGTGTGTGTGTGTGTGTGTGTGTGTGTGTGTGTATATATATATATATATATATATATATATATATATATATATATATATATATATATGTCGTACCTAGTAGCCAGAACGCACTTCTCAGCCTACTATGCAAGGCCCGATTTGCCTAATAAGCCAAGTTTTCATGAATTAATTGTTTTTCGACTACCTAACCTAACCTAACCTAACCGAACTTTTTCGGCTACCTAACCTAACCTATAAAGATAGGTTAGGTTAGGTAGGGTTGGTTAGGTTCGGTCATATATCTACGTTACTTTTAACTCCAATAAAAAAAAATTACCTCATACATAATGAAATGGGTAGCTTTATCATTTCATAAGAAAAAAAATAGAAAAAATATATTATATATATATATATATTAATATATATATATATATATATATATATATATATATATATATATATATATATATATATATATATATATATATATATATATATATATATATATATATATATATATATATATATATATATATATATATATATATATATATATATATATATATATATATATATATATATATATATATATATATATATATATATGTCGTACCTAGTAGCCAGAACTCACTTCTCAGCCTACTATTCAAGGCCCGATTTGCCTAATAAGCCAAGTTTTCCTGAATTAATATATTTACTATAATTTTTTTCTTATGAAATGATAAAGCAACCCTTTTCTCTATGTATGAGGTCAATTTTTTTTTATTTGAGTTAAAATTAACGTAGATATATGACCGAACCTAACCAACCCTACCTAACCTAACCTAACCTATATTTATAGGTAAGGTTAGGTTAGGTAGCCAAAAAAAGCTAGGTTAGGTTAGGTTAGGTAGGTTAGGTAGACGAAAAAACATTAATTCATGAAAACTTGGCTTATTAGGCAAATCGGGCCTTGAATAGTAGGCTGAGAAGTGCGTTCTGGCTATTAGGTACGACATATATATATATATATATATATATATATATATATATATATATATATATATATATATATATATATATATATATATATATATATAACACACTAGGCTTGTATCGAGGTTCTCCAAGGGTCGAAGTACTGACCTTCCTAGGATACAGCCCTACAACAGTTGCCTAACTCCCGGATATTTATTTAATGATATGTTAACAGAGGCATTAGATGACAGGAAACATGCCCAATCACTTCTGTTCCACCCGAGAATTGAGCCAAGGATTTCCAACTGAGAATCGAAAACGAAGCCAACTGTACAACAAGATCCCTTCATATTTTTTTCAGGTGTCGCCTTTAGCCACAATGGATTCAAATCCCATGTTTGTTGTGTGAGACGGGATAAAGTTATTATTACATTAATAAGTAAATCACCAGAATTATTTAACAAGAACATGAAATAATTCTAAGTGTGTCTTAGGGAGCATGAGTGTACTAACCTCTCTCTTGAGGCTATTGCCATTCTTCTCCGCGCTGGCGATGGGGAGCGTGGGCACCAGGACCATGAGGCCCTCCTCGTGTATCTCCACCAGGTTGTCTTCTGTTGGGGGCGCGGGCACCGGCGCCCCGCCCGCCATCACCACCAGCGCCGCCGCCGCCGCCACCGTCCTCACCACCACCATCTTGCTTCTCGCAAACAATCTCATTCTACAAGCCGAAGAATAATTCTTAATTATTGCAAACATATTAATTATTTGTATGTACATTCTGACTGTGAATGCCAGAATAAAAAATAATAATGCTATGGGTCAATTATTTATAAAAATATCGAATTAACGTTCTGTAAAATCCGTGGATTTTTACATATTTATATTATATATATTTATCTATATCTATAAAGGAGAGTGTATGTTTGCTTGTTTGTCTGTTTGAGGTTGGAGGTAAGAAAACTGGGGCTAGTTTTGTAGGGTGACTTGAATGTTCAGAGATGGTCATAGGCGGGGCGGGGTCAACTCCCATCTGCATGAATTGGCCACCGATACATTTTTCCAACCTCTCTAAACACCAGACTCCATCCATAGTAAGGTTTATTAGCCACATATATTATTTTCGACATAATTAATGTTAGTCTTATGTAGTTTATTAATGAAAACAGTGTTTACTAAAGATGGGTACATTGATGTAGGTAAAGTGGTACAGGGTAGAGAAGGAGAGGGAAGGTAAAGGAGAGGGAAGGTAAAGGAGAGGGGAAGGTGGTGAAGGAGAGGGATAAATGGGATCACCCCATAGTGGAGAACACTGTATTAGTTATGCTGGAGACAGTTTCAGTGAAAGATTTTTCACGCCTCCTCGCTGTACAAGACTCCTCATGCTGGGGATTTCCTATTGGCTATCCCTAATTCCACCTTTAACTCCCGCTTGGACCATCGGGACCTAAGTATTGATGTTGCCCTGCCTTTGGACTGGGTAACACCAGTCAACACATTAGCATCTGTGCATCTAACATTGGCTGATACCGTTGGGACACTGTTCCTTCCTTCTAAATAGTCGTAATGGCTTGGCGCTTTTCCTTGATAATTCCCTCCCTCCCTCCCTCGTTCCCATCCCAGCTCTTTGTTTTAATATCCCTTCCCTTCCCTGCCAGCCAATGTAGGGTAGTAGGGCTGCCACCTTCAGTGAGACCCAGGGAACTAATAATTACAGGGGTCCAGAACACTGTTACAGGTTCCTGGCAATAGGTTAAGAAACCCTGGGAGCCTGGGGGTACATGTGTACTTTAGTCCCTGATGGAGGTGGGTGAGGAACTCGTTAAGCAAATCGGAGACTCAAGAGCTACGTGTCCTCTTCTAGCAGCTTAAATGTCGCGATGCAGAGGAAGAAATGTGTGCTGCTGTATCTGATGCACGAACCCTTCTGCACAGCTGGAGGTGTGTGTTTATGTGCTGTGCGTGAATCACGAAGAAATTAACACGCGATGAAAAATGTGACACCGTATAAGCAGGAAGGGAAATGAAACAAGAAATTCTTTAAGCACTTTCGTGGTTAAAAGCGTGGCACAACTTTATAAAACATTATTTTTACTAAATACGTGTCGATGTAAGAATCCCGAAAAATGTAGAGTGTCAGAGGAGCCAGGGAGGCTAGCCCCCCTCCCCCTGTGCAGTGACATACTGACCTCGTGAGGCTGGTAAATATTGATACACGGGTCAAAAGCTGGTTAGTGAAGACCAGGACAGTGAGCTCAGGAACATGAGAGTAGGGTCAGGAAATAAACGACGCCATATGCTCAATACAGAACGGACATCACGCAGTCTCAGAATTGGACACTTAAATGTCGAGTAGTGACATCACAAGGCAGGTAGTGACGTCCCAAGCTATCCGACGATGTATTGAGTAGTATTGTCGTCCTGAAGTGATCGAGTAGATATTCAGGTGTCATGCTCGACGCGTTATATATGGAGAATAGCTGCTTGTGGAGGGGTAACTGTCACAGGGAACACTGCAGTAGCCCTCCAGGGCCGGAGGAGCACTAGATCATAGGGCCGGATAGCTGGGTGTTGACGCCATGGTGGCGAGCGGGAGCCTGCAGCCTCAGGGAGCCGGTGCAAGGTGAAAGCTTATTGTTAAGCCCTGGTGACGTGGTATTACTTTCCCTTTCCCTCACAATTCTATCATAATAATGTTTACAACTGCGTCATAGAAGCGGCTCTCAATATGAGGCCGAGTGAGCGTTACCAGGCGCCTCAAACGCCAGTCACGCCACACACTTGTAGTGCTACACAATCTTGGACTTTCTTGGACTGTCAGAAAGCTTTTGACACAGAACCCCATAAGAGAAACAACCTGGAGTAAGTTCTAGGGGTGCTCCAATGGATAAGAGAGTACCTAAACAACAGGAAGCAGAGAGTTACTGTGAGGGATGAGACCTCATACTGGCATGATGTCAACAGCAGAGTCCTGCAGGGTTCTGTACTCTGACCTATTCTGTGTCTGATACACGTGAACGATCTTCCAGAAGGTATACTCTTTCCTCTCAATGCTTGATGACTGTGCTAAAATTGCGAGAAGGATTAAGACAGAGACAGAGGAAGACAGCACGAGGCTACAGGATGACCTGGATAGACTGAAGGAATGGTTCAATAAATGGCTACAAGAGTTTAACTCGAGCAAGTACAAAGTGGTGAAGATAGGCGCAGGGAGCAGGAAGCCAAACACAAGGTACCAGCTGGGAGAGGAAATCTTTCGGGAGTTAGGACGAGAGCAAAATCTGGGGGTTGATATCACACCAGACCTGTCCCCTGAAGCCCACATCAAAGGATAGCATCAGCGGCGTATACAAGGCTGGCGAACATAAGAACTGCCTTCAGAAACTTGTGTAAGGAATCACTCAGAACCTTGTATACCTCATATGTCAGACCAAAACGAGAATATGCGGCTCCAGCGGGGAGTCCACACCTAGTCAAACACAAAACGAAGTTAGAAAAGGTTCGCAATGACGCCAGAGAACACGGTGAACCCGTGACGCCACATAATCTATCCATGACATCTACGGAACCACACCGCCTCAGTCGTTCACTTGGTGGTGTGGACAACCTGAATGCTCATCCTGGTGATTTGCCCCCCAATAATGTGCAATGTTTCAATAATTCAATAATTTGGAAGAAATATAATGAGCATCGCGATGTCAAACATAACTTTCTCAGCGGTGAAAAAACCCAACTTTCTCTGTCGTGACCTAACGTAAACTTTCGCCCGTGTGGTGATCAAGGTATCTGTCGTCACCCAACGTACTTTCTCCTAGTGATAACCCAAGGTAATATTATCACCGCCTTGTGTGACCCCTATTGTAATGTTGTTCCTTTCGAACCAAGACCCTAGCGCGCTCTCCTCGGGAGGTCTTGGCGCCCTTTCCCAGGAACCACATCGGCATTTTAGAGCTGCGTACTCTAACCAATATGTAACATGCTGGCGTGTGCATATGTAACATTTGTTACACACGATTAGTCTCGGGTGCCCAAGTTTTCCTCAAGTCTCAGTTTACCTGGGCTGCTGGTGCCACTATAATGGCTTGTGTTCACTTAGTTATGCTTGGGAGGGATTGAGCTTTGGCTCTTTGGTCCCGCCTCTCGACTATCACTCAACTGGTGTTGTGTTCACCCCGTGTTAACTGTGTATATGCGTGTGACCTGACCTTACCAGCCTGTTGCCGGTATTTATTGTCAAAGAAAACTAGGAAAAGAATGGACGAAAGGACACAGGTCAGGTCATTACCAGGAGGGAGCAGTCAGCCATTACGATTATATAGAGGGAAGATAGAGTAGAGGCTGACGAAGGCCACGGGGGCCTTCATTCTCCCTGGGGGAGAATGAAATACAATAAACGTGCCGTGAAAGAAACTAGGAAAACTCTGAAGACGAGGCACCATTATAGGAATAGGAAGAACCAAAATAGGAAAACAATATTTAAGGAAGGAGGAGGAGGAGGGATAATGTTTATGATGCAATAGACTGAAATGGAAGAAAGAGTAATATTGAGATAATTTCTAGTGGATTAGAAGCAAGAGAGAAACACCCAAAGAAACGACCTGTATTGAAAATCAAGTACGGAAATGATGTTAAATTAGAAAGTAATATTATTATTCTGCGTTTAAGGAGCCATGACACACACACACACACTAAACACAATTTTACATGTAAACATGAAAACGAGAAAATGAGTCTTTGCATTAAACTGCAAAAATGCTCAAAAGACGCTGTTCGGAGGTAACGCTGGACTCCACAAGCACACCTAGGCGTGTACGTCTAGGCGTGTACGTCTAGGTGGGGTACACTCCACGCTTCTCAAATATTCGTTGACTCTGCTCCCAGGCGACCTTGAACAACCTTCACTTGTTAACTTTCCCTTTCTCCGAGTGTCCCCAATTTAACCCATTACACCTCTCAGATCCCAGAAGGATCTGGGACCCACAAACTATTTTTTTTCTTACATAAATCTGGCGTTAATCTGGTCAGCTCACACGAGCAAAAAAAAAAAATCCGTTAAATGCAAAGCTCGACAAACAAATGCCGAGCGAGAGACAGAGCCTGTCGACACCATTTTTTTGTTTTTAGTTTACTTTTTCTATGAAAGTGAATGGTGGTTTAAAGTGGTACTGGCTCCCAGGTTGGTCTGTTATCCGCCCATTATGTTAGGGATGCAGAGGCGGGGAGAGCCAGCTGCCACACACACACATCGGCCTCACCATCTTCAACACGCTGGGCCCGGGAACAACTGGCTCGCCGCCAAGGAAAGTGCGGCCGGCAGGTGGCGGCGCCGACGTCACCGACGCTGGGGACGGCGTGGTGCTGGTGACAATCCCCTTCCCCCCCCATCCCTACGTCGGTCAAACAGCTGCAGGGCAACAACAGGAGCGGCGGGAAATCAACTTGCTGCTCTGATAAGTACGGCAACACGTACGGTGATTAGCTAAGTTGGTCTTTATGGCACCCACATGTGACCGCGTGATGGCCTAGTTAAAAAACAAAATATTGGTTACGCCAGACCACACCCCGACTACGGTAACCCGCCGTATCCACAACGTCCCACGTCTCAACACCCGCCATTCCAACAACAAAGAGATGAGTATGGCTTGTTGAGTCACTTCAGGCCAAAAGGATAGTTGATAGACTAAGAGTGTTCCAGCTTCTAGAGAGGACTCACGTGGTCAT